ACACACATATAGAATACATTGAGATCTACATAGATCCAAATAGTACAGTAGACGTGTGCTACAAGGAAGGCAAATTTATATGAGGCTCTGAAGAGTGCATATATAACATTTTACTGTCCAGAGAGGAAGAATGGGGCAAATCTCTGCTCGTAATACCCTAATAAACACTTAGAGCCAGAAGTATTGTTTTATAGCAGGACAAAAAAAAGCATGCAGCTCGGTAAATGAAACTGCCTCTTGACATTTTCTTTCTCTTTTTGGTGATACTGGGAATTGAATTCAGGGCCTCCACACTGAGCTACATCCTCATCCTTTCTTTTTTCTTTTCTTTTTTTTAATGTTAATTTTTTGGTGCTAAGGACCAAACCAAGGGCAGATATCCCCCGCTGGGTAGGTGTCTTAACTATCCCGTGTCTGCTTTCCTCATCTGCCAAATGAGAAAGACTGGAAACAGACCTATTTTCTCTTGGCCTGCATTTGACTTTTGGAAAGTAACCTCATAAACCAATTGGTGGTAATGTTTTACCAGCTTAGTATATAATCTCTCCGCAGGACTTTTATACTTTATCATTTTTGTAATATGGACTGGAGCAAAGAGAAAGTGTTAGTCTCCTAAAAAGCCATCAATTAAAGGCAGGTGCTATGCCTCATTTTTTGTTGGCAAAGAGGCTAATACTGCCTGGGCAACCCCGTGCTAATCTTCCCTAATACCCACTAGTTGGAATTTAGGATGCCACACGTACCTTAGCCAAGATAAGTTATAAATGGGAAGAGAGAATGAAAAGAGTAAAATACTCAAATGTAATTAATGTCACCACTTTTTGGTGGTGACAAGGAGATGGCCTGTTTGGGGAACATGTAGGGAAATGTGTTCAAAGAGTAATCTTCGAAATAAAAATATAAGAATTTCTTCTAAGCCCTTATTCCAAGCTAATAACATTTGTACTGTGACTTTTGCCAACTAACTTCTTCTGAAGTAAGAACCAAGTCTTTAACACTTGTCTGTGTGGTTATTTTCGACTTCCTAGGCAGGCTCATGAGCCATCTCAACTTTTATTTTTTATTTTTATTAGTACATGTTTACGAGGGATAATGATTGTATTCTGTGTGGATAGCTCATACATTCCTTTGTACTATAACATTTATACATTTATACTGAGATTATAGTTGTTTTTAGATTGCAAACAAATCCTTGGTTTTTTCATTGTAAGTTTTTGTTGTGTGTAAAATTATTTATCCAGTTTAACACATAGTTTAAGAGTGGGGGTTTTTGTTTGTCTGTTTTGTTGTTTTGTTAGATTGTTTTTTGAGACAAGGTCTCATCATGTAATTCAGGCTGGCCTTGAACTCACTATCTAATCCAGACTGATCTCCAACTCCAGCAATCCTCCTGCCTCAGCCTCCCAAGTGCTGGGATTATAGGCCTGTGCTATCATGCCTGGTTGCATAGTTTAAAGTTTTAAATGTTATTAGAGGCTGATAAATTAGAAAAGACAGTAAACAGAATTTTTCTCACATTGTTTCTATATTCTCTCACCTTCCAAAACTAGCAGGTTTTTCACACTAGGCCACAGTAGTTGTTAAAGAGTATCCAGAGATAACTCCCTTCTCTCTCTTGTCCCCAGCCACTCAGTTTCTGTCTTTGAGGGGCAAATGTGAGTGTCCTTCCAAAGATTTTTCCCAAGACAGTTGGTATATATATTCTTTGGTTTCCTTTTCCCATACAAAAGGTAGCATATGTTTCACCCTGCAGCGCTCCTTGGGTTTTGCAATTAATCCTACATCTGTTCCAGGGGAGAGGGTGCTGGAGATTGAACACAGGGCCTACCCCTATGGTGTATCCCCAGCCCCACTTTATCCCACATCTTGAAGATTAGTCCATGTCCGGCTACACAAAGAGTTTCCTCTTTCTTTTTGACAGATATCTGGTATACCAACAAATGGATCCTCTATTAATGGATAGTTGGGTAGTGTCCAATCTTCTGCTTTGAATGGCTAGCTTGTGTTACGTATCAAGCTCTGTTCTCTGTGTTTCACATGAATCATTTGATTTAATCCTCAATGCTGAAAAAAACAACCTTTCACATATAAAACTTCACACAAAGAAAAGGAAGAAAATATATATATATACATATATATATTACATTATCTGAATATATATACATGGATTATATCATAGTATAGCTTTAGTTTGCATTTCTCTTGTTATGAGTCAAGTTAAACATCTTATTGTAAGACAGAATGACTTCAATATCCTTTTCTTATAAATTGCTCTTTTATTTTTTATTATATTTTATTTTATTGATCTATTTCTTCTCTTTGAGACAGGGTTTTACTATACAGTTCAGGCTAGCCTTGAACTCACTTTGTAGCTCAGGCTAGCCTCAAACTCTTTGCAGTCCTCCTGCCTCAACCTCCCAAGTACTGGGATTACAGGCGAGCACCACCACGCCAAGCCTAAATTGCTCATTTAATAATTTTTAAGTCCTCCAATAGGAAAATTAGAAATTGCCTGTGATGTGAACTGCAGATGTTCCATTAGTTTTGCTTATGGAATTTTTGCCGTGCAGAATTTAAAAGCTTATGCAATTGAATGTATCATTTTTGGTTTCTTGTTTTATGCCATTGTTAGCCTGAGATTCATAAAACAAAATCCCTGTTTCCTTTCCTAGTACTTGCATGGGTGTTTGTCTTCTTTATATTTATATTTTTGATCTGCTTGAAATTTATCTTGGTGTAAGGAGTGAAGGAAAAATTCAACTTTGTGTTTTAGATGGCTACCCAGTTTAATCAGTGCTCTTTACCTCACAAATTACAGATGCCACTTTTTATGATAAGCTAAACTCTGATAACAGAATTTAAGAATGAGGCAGTGCGGATTACTTACTAATGTCAAGTAAAGATCTCCTCTGCTTGATAACCAAGCTTCCTGTGAAAGTAATTACTGAGCTTATTATTTCCTACTGAAAAAAATGTATATACCAAACTTGTGAGAGTACATCATCTGAGCAGAAATGTGTATGGCTATGAGCAAAAGAAATAAAGTCAGAGCAAATAGAAATGTAAAATTGGAATTCTTTAATCACATGCCTTTAAGTAAGAATAATCTCAGTGGCATTTTATGGAAATGGCTAGACAGTTATGAAGGTGGAAAAAATCCTGGACTAGGGGACACATAGGTGCCAACCGTGTTTTTGTTTTGGTTTGTTTTTTTAACCTCAATGTGGTCTCTTCAAAAATAATAATGATGAATACTTAGAACATTTCCTGGCCTACAGTAAGTACTGTTTATTAATCATGCACTCCATGTAATTAATAGTTTGTTATAAATCATCAAATATTAAGTAATATTATTAAGACAATGTCAACAGACCTGATCTCAGCCAAAACAAAAGCCAGAAGCAAATTCAATATTGTTATGAGCCACATACACGCTATAAAGTAAACAGTTAACAGAAGTAAAGAACGGGTATCAGAGAGAACACGTGGCCTCAGTCCCTTTGCACATGCAGTTCCCTAGGTCTGAATGCCCTCCTGCTAACAAACACATAAGTGTGTGTGCTTCTTTTCTGTAAGACTCTGTCACGTGCTATCTCATGACCTCTCTTGCAAGGCTGGTGTATTATTTCACCTTTATATCTCTGCTCAGCCACTGATGGACTCCCTGGTGTGTAGTAAATGTTCAGTTGAGAGAAAAAATAAAAATTTGACCACATGATTATTTAGTGTCCTGTTTGATTAAAAAGGCATAAAACTCAACATATTAGCCCTGATAGCTGTTAAAAAGCAAATTTACTTATTGATTATATTTCTGAGTATATGAGAAAGCAAACCCAAAGTATTAAATGGTTTGTAGCCTATTTTAAACGTGTGACCTAATGGGTGAAAATCAGACAATTTCACTAATTGTATGTTTGACCTATCACATTTTTCTGTGGCGGTGGAAATTGAACCTTGCATTTTAGTTGTAAGAGTCACACTTGGGATGATTGCTAAATAAAAATATTGATTCAAATAAGATTAGAAACTAAACACAAACATCACACTTCACATTCAGACTTTTCCTAGTTACAACCATCTGGGACATATTCAAGAAGCTAAAAAGAATGCAAACATGCCTCTAAAGCTAGAAGAAAAGAGCTCTCAGAAAGCCTGTGTACGTGATATGGGGCTGGGGGCAGGGCTGTGCTACACATGCCAAAGCCTACTTACTGCCTGAATTTTTCATAGAAAACTCTCAGGACTGCTTAGTTAGCATGGTTCTTCAGCTTCCTTTCAAGACATTTTAACTGGTCTTAAGTTTCAGTTAACAAAATAAAGATTCAAAGAATTCACCCACCTGCTGCTGCCAGAAGGCACTAAATAAAGCGTTGTTGACATGAGTGTAAACGTGATTCTCGTGTTTTTCTTCTATAAATCATGGAAACTTACTTTGGTTTTAGTCTTTAAGAATTCTGATTGGCTCATATAAAATGAGTTTTGACAAATAGTTTTTTCTACTGTTTTAAATCTGAGTTTTAAAAACAGTTGGCCTTTTGATCTCACCTTTTTAAAAGAGATGGTTAATTTGAAAAAGTCTTTATTCCTTTATTCAAGTATTTATGCAATTTATTATAGGTTGAAAGCTCAAGCATGAAAAGAGTATGTATAAATTTCTTTGCACAATTTGGAATAAGCTATATAAGGAAACCAAGGCAAAAAGTGTGTTTTGGCGATTCCAAGAAGTGGGGTTTTGTGGTTTGGTTTGGTTTTGTCTTTTTGAGACAGTGTCTCACTGTGCAGTTCAGGCTGGCCTTGAGCTCTTTGTAACCCAGGCTGGTCTCAAACTTGCAAGGATCCTCCTGCCTCAGCCTCCCAAATGCTAGGATTGGAGGCGTGTGCCACCATACCTGGCTTGAAGAAATATTTTAATACACGTTAAACATGCTATTTGTGGAAAGATCTTAGATGAATGAAAATCATTATCACTCAGTTTCTTTTCTTTCTCCTTCTATTTCTAGATTGCCAAAATGCTTTGGAGTTTTTAACTGAATCTAAGAAAAATCCAAAATAGATTTGAGACTGTAAAAACAGAAGCTGCAGCAAGGGGGATTCAGTGCCAATGCATCAACAAAAAAGACAACCAGAGTTAGTGGAAGGAAATCTTCCTGTTTTTGTGTTTCCCACGGAGCTCATATTTTATGCAGATGATCAGTCAACACATAAGCAAGTGTTGACTCTGTACAATCCCTATGAGTTTGCCTTAAAGTTCAAAGGTGAGTCTCCTAGATCTAACTCACGAATGTTTAACTAGTCCCTACTAATTTTTTTATTTGTAGAAACTAGTTGTTTTAAAACCACTAATGGCCACTGTGACTTTTTCTTTCAGTTTTGTGTACTACTCCAAATAAGTATGTTGTCGTTGATGCTGCGGGTGCAGTAAAGCCTCAGTGTTGTGTGGATATGTAAGTCAAACTCACTTCCTGGTAACACATTTTCAGTGTGTTCATACTTATGTTTTTCTTGAAAAAGACCTTTTCATGAAGCTGTTCCCATGCAGGCATGTATAATCTTTGGACCTTTCGCTGAAATTTAGCACAATTTAAGAAATTTCTGAGAGATTCTAAACAGACCAAAACACACTTCATCGTGTTGGAGCTACTGCGTGTGTCAGCTCCTTGACATTTCCTCAGTGTGGTTTAGTTGAAGCAGAGGTGTCGATAAAGGCCAGGTTCTGACTTGTTCCTCTCAATGTCTCCAGCTACAGTAGGGAATTTAGCTTTCTTTGGAACATCCTGCTATGACTAGTTTGGGAAACTAGTAATTCTATGATGTAAAAACAATGGTAATATCAGTTCATTCGAAATGATTCAGCTAATAAGCCTGGAAATCAGTCTATATAAACAGGAAGCAAGGGTGTAACTACTCATCTGTAAAAAGTTATCTGAGCGCTTCCAGATAATTTCGTCTTAGAGTGTCAGATAAATGATTGTTTGTTCAAGCTGTTCATATTTAATTTTCACTTTAGAATTGGTGGTGACCATATGGATTCGTTGACCAGCCCTTAATTTAAGCCACCGAGTAAGCTGTATTTGTTAAAATCGTCTCTGAGAATGAGACACAGAAATCTTTTTTCTAGAATATTTTGGCATCATCTCAAAGCCATAAGTTGATGTGTATTTGAGAATGGGTTTTTACATTTTTCTGTGGATTTTCATTCAGTATACAATAGGCAAGGACTACTCCCTGAAAAAGGTAGCCTTGTCAAGTAAATGTGTTATCCCTGACATAATTGTCTTGTGTTACCTAGGAAGAACAAAGTATAATAAATTATTGCGGAAAACATAAAAATTACACTGCTTTATATTCTTTTTATTTAGAAAAGTACAGAAGTGTGTTATCAGCCTTCTGGTGCATTGAGCCTAGTAGACTAGCTACTTATGCGGTTACTTATTTTTACCTGTGTGTAAATCAGTTCTGACACCTAAGTGAGTTTTGTTACTTGAATAATAAATTAGGGCCAAAGAAATTTATGGCGTGCTTATAGGGGGAAGCTATCTCATATATTCCTATTTAAGAAATATTGTTTTACACAGATATCTAGGGAAAAAAGTCATTTAAAGGGAATGTACTTATCATTCGTAAAACTATTCTATATTTTATTTATTCATTTTTGCCTCAGTTCCCCCTTCTATATTTTAGAATATGTGCTTGCATAAGATATTTCAGAATTATTTTCCATTTCTGGCCGAGAGGTGACACATCAGTAATCCCAGCATTCAGGAGGCTGAGGCAGGAAGACTGCCATGAGTTCAAGGCCAGCGTGGGCTACATAGTGAGACTCTCTCTCAAAAAAAATCCTGTTTCTTTGGGCTTATACTATATTTGTTTCATTGTTAGTAAATTTTTAGTTTTCAGTGTTTGGTTATAGTCAGTTAACATTATTTTATTGTGTTAAAATCTCTTTTTGCATGTTGTTTCTAGGTCCCTAGAAACCTAAATACTATTTGTTATTTTTTACCATTTTCAGTGTGATTCGTCATAGAGATGTTCGATCCTGTCACTATGGTGTAATAGACAAATTCCGTCTCCAAGTTTCTGAGCAAAGCCAGAGGAAGGCTTTAGGAAGGAAAGAGGTTGTTGCTACTCTTCTCCCATCTGCAAAAGAACAACAAAAGGAAGAAGAGGAAAAAAGAATAAAGGAACATTTAACGGAAAGTTTATTTTTTGAGCAGTCATTTCAACCAGGTAGTATTGCTTTGTTTTTAAAGCCCTTTGGCAGTTTACTTACAGATGCCTCAATTTAAAATAATCAAAGAGCTAAGAGAAAATACTACAAAGTGAATCTGCAGTTTAAACCTAGTCAATTACTTCAAAATTGGACCTGGAGACTGGGCTGTCTGAAAAAGAGGAAGACTCCCAGGACCTGCGGAAGAGTGTCTGGCCCGCACTAGACTAGATGATAAAGAAGAGTCAAATGTTATTGTTCAAAGTGTTTTTATTAATGTACTGTTAATATTTTAGTGCTATATGTAAATAGAAGTATGTATATGTTTCATGTTAGATTTTATCTACCTCCAAAATATAAAATTAAGGACCGCAGGTACCGTATTTTATGACACTGGCACACTTTGGCAATTATATACTTTTGTTTCTATGACTTTCTTACATCCTTTCTCATTTAATTAGTTCAATGGAGGAGAGAAATTTTGTTTGGCAATAGGCCAAGTTTAGTGTGCTGTTCATATTATTTTGAAAAAAAAAATCTCATTAAAGTTGAAGTTAATTAAACTAAGTAGATTATAATATCCCCTGTGGGCTATTAATTGAATCCCTCTCCACTTCTTATTTCCTTCTTAGCTTAGAGATTCAGAAGTGTTATGATATATTCTTTCAGTGCTGACAGTATCCTCGTATCCAACTCCATCCCCCTCCTTCCTAACTTCTCATTCTTTCCTTCTGTACCCATGATCACAGGAGGGAGATAAAATTTTACCTAGAAACAGAATCCTTTTTGATGGTATTGTACGAATACGATAATGGCTGTCCTTAAGATTGTAGCATGATACACATGAGAGCTTTAAAAAATCCACTTGTTATTACATGAATTCATACACCCATATCAGTTCTGTCATCTTCAGATGTTTACTTACACCTGAGCCCAGGGTCTTATCAATGCATGCAGAGAGGGCCCAGATTTCCTGGTGACACTAGGACTAGCGACAAGGTAGTAGCTTATAGTTTGTTTTCCTCTCAGCAACTGTTAATCAACAGGACCATCTTTCCATCTTTTGAGGAAATACAGCATTTGTCAAATGTCATTTTGTCAGAGCAATATTGTGAAGTTGACTTATTTGTGAAATGCAAGATGTCCTCCTTCAATATGCTTCCTCTAGTAATCCTAGCACTCAGGAGGCTGTTGCAGGAGGATCGCCACACATTTGAGGCCAACCTGGGCGAAGGCCAGCCTGGACTAAGGCCAGCCTGAACTACATAGCCACACCTATGTCCAAAAAAACCCTCCTCTAGAAAAGAATAGTTTCTTAGAATTCAAGTGAAAATCGCCCTAAAAGCTTGCATAATTACATTGTTTCGCTCTTATTTTATCTTTAAAATAAACATTAGCATCTAAAATATATGAGAGAAAGCGGGGCATGGTGGTGCATGCCTATAATCCCAGCACTCAGGAGGCTTAGGCAGGAGGATCGTTATGAGTTTGAGACCAGCCTGGGCTACAAAGTGAGTTCAAGGTCAGCCTAAACTGTAACGTGAGACCTTGTCTCAAAAAGGCAAAAAAAAAAAAAAAAAAGAAAGAAAAGAAAAACAAAAAATAACGAAAGAAGATAACTCAGTGCATACATCCTGGGTTCAGTACTCAGTACTACAATCAATAAAATATATGAAAGAATTTAAGCGTAATTTTGGAGTGGGTAGATGAATTAGCATAGAGGCTATCAGCACAACACATGGCGATCTCTGTTTTAGGTGAAAATATCTTTAAGCCATTGATGTTAGGAAGCTCACCGCAGGCAGGCTGCTTTCTGTCTTTACCATTCTGTCCTCAATACTAGCGTAGTGACCCAGCAGACTGATTACACGCAAAACACGAGACTCTGTCTACTGGAGCCCTCTGAGTGTGATGATGACTTCCTCAGTGCGGGCAACCTGAGGGATTTTAACTTCCATTGTCTAATAATTTAGCAGTAATTTATGTGTGGTGTCTAGTGTACAGAATGTTCAGGTTTTCTCATTACCTTTCTCTGAACTAAAAATGTCTAAATAAATTAAGATTGTGTTGTGGGAGTTTTTTTCTGGGCGGTTTTTCAATGTTATGATTTTTTTTCAAGTTGTTAGAAAACTCTTCATTGAAAGCCTATTGCTAGAAGTTCTGCAAGTGTGGCAATGTGAAGAGACCTGTTGTTAGCTGGAAAAGGACTGGAGGCTGCATCAGGAAAAATTTCTACTTTAAAATATGTTGAAAGTTAGTAAAGTGAGAAACTTTTAAGGTTAGTGTATAAAAGACATTCAGCGGTAACATTAGAAAAACAAAGCACCTATAATCCCACACCCTTAACAAATCTGCTTCTCTATGTGCTCCGTGTTACTTTCTAGACCTTGCCTGTGTGCATAAATACAATTTTGTATATGGCCAGGCTTTGGTTTTTATTTTTATGTTTTGAATTTTTGAGACAAGGTCTCAGTATGTAGTTCAGGCTGATCCTGAACTCACAGCAATCCTTCTACCTCAGTCTCTCAAGTGCTAGGATAATAGGTAAGCACCACCATGCCCAGCCTCTGGTCAGTTTTTTATTTGACAGAAATTATAGTGTTAAAATATAGAGAAACCAACAAAAGCTTTCCTAAAATACAAGAGTCTAGATTATTAAAAAGACAATTTGAAAGATCTAACTGAATTTTGTGGGATTTGTTTTAATTGCATTATTAATGAACTGCTGTGTTTTTGCTGAGTTCGAATCTGTGCCTTCTGGCTTAAGAAAATTACGAATTTTATTATTGTTGATAGTAATAAAACTTTAAAATGACCTAAGAGCCCATCATTGGGGATTGATTAAATTATAAATGTTCATAAGATGGAATGCAAGGCAGCCATTTACTAAGATCTGATAGAATGGTGTTTATATATTGACCTAGGAAAAACCTCAGATATATTTCACATTTAAGGGGGAGCAAAAGTCAGACACAGTGGTACACACCTAGAATCCAGCACTCAGGGTGACGCGCGAGTTTCTCAAGTATGAGGAAAGCCTGTATTGCACACAAGTTTCAGGCCAGCTGGTACCATATAGTGAGCCTCTCTGTCTCAAAAACAAAATTAAAGGGATTACCAAAGTTATAACAATATTTATAATACAATTTCATTTATCTAAAAAATCACATGTTTAAATGGATAATTTTTAAAATCTGTAAAGATACATCAGGCTGAAAACATGTAATGATAGAAAAACGCTTTATATATACATGTATTTTTTGGTGTGGTTAGTTTCGTTGTTTTTTTTGAGACAGGGTCTCACTATGTAGTGCAGGCTGGCCTGGATCGTCCTGCCTCAGCCTTCCAAATGTTGTACCACCATGCACCACCATGCTTGTCCTGTTTTGTTTGAGACAGGATCTTGCTTTGTAGTTCAGGTTGGCCTTGAACTGAGTATACAGCAGTCCTACCTCAGTCTGAGCTTTGCTTTCCATAGCTTTATAACATTTTACAGTCTTCACGTATTACCAGGGAAATGACTGTTTCCATTTTGAAAAATTTCAAACATTTATGTGAAATATCTTTGGAATTTCTATAAATGCTAACTATTGTTTGGAATTATCTTTATTATACATTTTCAGTGAGCAACATAATCTCTATAAATAAAGATTTCCTTGAAAATCCATCCTTATAGTAAATATAAATCCAAAATTACTTCATTTATTGACTAAGACTTGATTTTTGTACATATTTGTGCTGTTAGTTCATTGCCATGCAATAATCAATATAAAATTTGAATTCGTTGTTTACCTGTCTGGCTTTGGTAAGGTTCAGTTAAACTCTACAACAGCTAAGGGATAAATAATTTAGAAAAGCTTCATTTACAAGTAGAATGAACAGTGTTATTTCATTAATAAAACACCAACATTGTGTTGCCATTGGCTATTTTTAATGAAAAAAAGATTAATGGGAAAAGGCCATATAACAGAAAATGCTGTTTGGTTTCTTAAAAGATGGGCATGTATATTGTACACACATAGTCAGAACAGTAGACTAGCAGGCTTGATAAAAGTTCATTTATGTTTTTAGAAGCAACCTCAGAGGTTTTTATCTTTTTACAGAAAGCAAAGCTGTCTCCTCAGGACCTAGTTTATTAACGGTCTTCCTGGGAGTGGTGTGCATTGCAGCCCTGATGCTGCCTACGCTGGGGGACATGGAATCGCTGGTGCCTCTCTACCTCCACTTAAGTGTGAATCAAAAATTAGTGGCTGCTTATATTTTAGGTAAGATTTAAAAGATGCACTTGGAATGTATGTATAGGGTTTATTTGTGGGAGGTGGTTTGATTTTTTTTTTTTGTAAAATAGATGAAGGATTGCTTCAAAAAGATGTTGAGGCTAGATGCATTTGGGATTTAACTTTGTCTCATATTATTTCTCTTCACCTTACTTATCTGGTAGCTAAAACTGTATTTACTGAATTATTTTCCTTTTGCTGAGTATGCAGTGGTGTAAGTGGTGTAAGTATACAATGCATATATTCCATGGTATAGCATTTGGGCTCAATTTGATCCAACTCCGGGAAAACACTTAGACAACGTGCTGAATGATGCAACCATACTTAATATTGTGAACGCTTCTCATTGTTTCTTGTTCAGTCATTCTTTCGATCATCAGGCTTCAAAGCTTATATTAGTAATTTCAATTGGGCAAACATATATTACGTGCTTTCCATCTGTCAAGGAGTGTGGTTGTGGTGATAAAGGACTCTTCATATTCTTTTCTCAGATCTGCTTAGGTGCCAACTCTTTCAAAAATTCACTCAGTATTTTTGGTGCACTCTCCTTTTTAATTTTTATTTCAAAATTATCTTCTAAATCGCCGCTGTACCTTCTAAGTGTGCTCCTCTTCTTCCTATTCCTTCCCCTTCCTGTGTCCACCTTTCTTTTGTATTGCTGTCATTTGGATTTCCATTCTGTTTTGATTTCACAGCCATTCTCTACTCCAAAACCCTCAGTGGTTCCCCATAGTCCATGGGCTGAAGTTTTAACTCCATAGTTTGGCATTTAACAGTCTCCACAGTTGGAGACCTCACTGAATCAATCTTGTCAAGCTGCTTCCTTATGCAAACCCTTGAATGGAGCCTGTTGGATTCTTTCTTGATTTCAGAAAAGCTCATTTAAAGTCATGGTCCTCCTCCTGGGCCCCTGTCTCCCCTGAAATATTTGACTACAGATTGTCTGCAGCTTTTCTGTCCATCTTTTGAGGCTCATTTCAGTATTTACCTTTGGACACAACTTTGCTGACTGCCCAGTGCTGTGTGATCATATTCCACCTGTGTACTTTTTATGTGTTTGTTTGCAAGGCGAAGGATGGAATCCAGGGCCTCACACATGCTAGGCAAGTGCTCCACCACAGAGCACCAACCCCAGCCCTCTACTTTTTCTTTGACTGCTTACTCTCCTCACTGTTCATTTGAAACTGGCATGTTCTTATTTTATTAAATGCTTATGGTTTTATATGTGAACTCTGTCAAGGAATGCAAGAATGCTGTTTCTGTCTCTCTGTGGCCCTACGGCCTTGGTACAAATAGACTCTTGATGCTTCTGTTGATAAAGTCTATTGGTTTTGTCAACACTTTAAAATGACATGTCTGCTGTTATTATAGCTGATGTGACTGGATAAAATAGGAGGTACGTTTGATGGTGAAATTAGCTATGGGCAGACATCAGTGATTTAATTAAATCTATTCGGTGACTGCCCGTTGCTAGAAATTGGATTTCTTCTGTATAACATCAACTAAATTCAAATGGACTTTGCATTCTTGGTAGAGTATCTGTTTATGTACTATATTTTATTTGTTCATTGAGGACCAAACATTGCATCTTAAACAGATTTTATAAACTGCATGTCTTTAATTGTTCTCCCATATTTTTGTTTTAGGTCTTATCACAATGGCTATACTAAGAACATGAGCGAGGATCTCAACTGACTTCTGAAGTAAATTTATCTTAAATATGAATGTGGACTGCCTTTCTCTAGTTCACTCCATTAACATGCTACAAACTATTGAATGATTTCAAATTATTGTAAATGTATAATATATTTTAAAATCCTCTATAATTGTATTTGAAGCACTCTAGCACATTATGTTATGGACAGCAAAGATGCTTCTGAGTGACACTTAGGAAATCATTTGATGAAATTCTTTTTATATCTATACATATGGTACAAATGACTTTAATTAAAACATTCATTATTTTCTCATCTTTTTTTAAAATGCACTTAAATTGATGAGGATCATGGTTTCTTCAAAATTAAAGGCCTCAAAGAGCAAAGTGTCCAGCCTGAAAATCAAATTACATGTATTTCTTAGCTGTGAACATCAACATGACTATGTGAATTATACTTTGCCCTTTATTGTCATAAAGAGTTGCTATGATGTTTCTAAAATAAGAGTTTTACAGTTAATTTGTAGAGGGTTCAAAAAAGGGATAAGGTACTAAGGGATCATGCTTATCCTAGGCTCTCACAAAACATAGGACATACTTAATTCATTTTGTGAACTACAGAGTGCATTGTGTTCCACACACCAAGCATAGGAAATAGGTTGACCTCTCTGTTTCATCTAAGAGTTTGAAAGGAAGGCTGGCATGTGGTTAGTTAGTTGTTTCAGCCTGGCTTTGCCTCTGATTCATGTTTTATATTAATGGGGGATCACTGTATCTCTTCTTCCAGGACCCTTGCCTGCCTGACTGTAAATGAGAGACCAGGTGGTTTGTGTAAGGATGATTTTTCCTTTAAAATTCTCGTCAAGTGTAGAAAACCCTTGATACCTGTGTCTATTTTATATGTCACTGAGACATTTTTAAGTTTTTATTTATTAAGACAACTTTACCAAAAAATCCCCTAAGCACAACTATTTACATTTCATATCACCTCTTCTGATCTCTAACATATATATATGCAGTTTTAACTATTATTGTCATAACAACTGATCATTTGTTTTAGAGTTTTTATCTGAAAGCACAATGCATTGAGTCTCTTGAAAATCATCTTTTAGATCTTTTTACAGAATGAACTTATGCACTGCTACTGTAGCATTCTCAAGGAATATACTTAAATACAAATGTATGCCTGAAGTTGGTTTCTTGCAGGAAACAGTACTCTGCTTCTAAAAGCTTTTGTGTCTAGTCTTTCATAAAAAAAAATCATTGTTTAATCATGTGGGGAGCATAAATCATTCAATGGATCATGTCTATACATTGTATAATGACTGAAAAAGCACATCAATGTAACCTACTTTGAACTTTGTAAAACAAAAGCTTATGTTTGGAAAGCTCGCGTTTCTCTGTTTCTCAAGTCCTGTGTGTTGTGCACGTGCATGTGCAAGTGCACGCACAGGTGTGTGTGATAACGCATTGTAAAAAAAAAACAAATTACTTTAAAAATAAAATGAAGTGGAAACCTGAGTTACATGTTGATTTAAACATTTTATTTGATTTACTTCTGAGGAACTCAGAGTTTTAGTTCTCCTATTAATGTCTCGTATTTCTGTGAATTAAAAAAAGGAAAATGAGAATAGTGATATATATGAGCTAGAAATATATCCGAAACACCTCTGAGGGAAATATTTGAGACAGAGCTGTGTGCCCTTAGTTCCAGTCTACCATGAAGAAAACCTTCTACTGCCATGATCCCTGAGGATGGACATATTCTAGGGGGAAAGAGCCAAACTAGCCAAGTAGCCATAAATATTGCAAAGTTCAGTCAAGGAAGAGGCAGTGAAGTCGTTTTCATGAAAACACATATGATTCATCCTGAAAGCAGCTAGCAAACAGGAAACGCACAGCAAGAGACACAGGAATGGTTGTAATTATCTGTCACTGCAGGTGTTTCTGCCACCTCAAAATCGTTAGGCCAGCACAAATCTGCCACCTGAGTTCACTTCAGAAGGGGTTATACAAAGTCAGCACGTAAAGTTTTTGGTCTCTAAAAAGGACTCTGGAGGAGTGTGGCTCCTGGATATTTTCATTCACTGAGCGATTAAGTAAAAAGACTATAGCAGCTGCTAAGGAGATATCTACAGGGTTTCTGCTTGCACACAGAAATAAGTGCTAAGGTTTCAAAACTGGGCTATTAGGAAAGAGACTGAAGCTTTCAAGTGGCACTTAACGCCCTGACATTTAGAGAGTGCATGCCTAAAAGGGACAATTTAGACATAAAGGCAGTTGGCAAAATGGGGACCCTGTGGCTACATTAGAAGATTCAAAATGGAGGAACCTGGCAAATCTAGCTGTATTATTCCAGCAACAGAATGCTAAGTTAGCGATTGTTGCATTAGGAAAATATTTGCTACACCTATAATCTGAAAGTGACAAACAACATACCAGAGCAGAACATTGGTCTCCAAGATTAAATGCCAAGCAGAATAACAAAAGGGGTGACCTAGCTAAGGGCTTTAGGATGAGGGCTTGCTTAGTTACCATGTAAAAGACTCTTTAAGCCATAAGCAGAGAAAGGAATAAATTAGGACACTCCTTTGGAGAGGCTTTTTGGAGCTAATAGAACAAAAATTCAAATGGACTAACTAAATTCAATTTGGCTGTTCCCTTATTTTGTTCATTTAGTATTTCTCTAATTTGCTTATCACATGGCTAACCAAAGGTTCTTCAATAAATGAAACAAATGACATACTCTGGGCTATGTCCGCTTCTGCCCCTAATAAAAACAACCTAGGTCAAGGACGATGGTAATGGGGAATGTCCTCACTAAATGCATTTTCCAATTAGCTGAGTGATTGCTTTGTAAATCACTGACTTAATGAACACACAAGCTTGAGGATGTGGTCAAGGTAGGCAGGGGACAGACTTGTTTCAATAAAGTGAAAATAATAAATGATTTTCTAAATCCACCAAGGTACAGAAAAACAACACAAAATCAATGTTGATAAAATTAAGTGAGCTCTGCAAATGTTAAAAAAAGATGTGCTAAACCCCATGATGTATGGAAGAATGCAAACTTGGCATACATACACAGATGAAACTCCACAGTAAATTACTTTTGCACAATCATAAGTCACAGGAGGCAAGATTAGGAATGAATTCATTTGGAAAATTTAAACAAAAGCTCTTTAGTCTCCGGAGAATGTATTTCTGGAGCTAATCACTGTACTAACCTATATCTTCAGCTGTTCTCAGGCTGTTAGGAAATGGGTGTTTCCTGCTTGTATTTCTTTTTAACTAGACTTTATTTTGTAAAGTAGTTTTTGCATTAACAGCAACATTGTGTAGCAAGTACAGAGTTCTATCACATATATGCACAGCTTCCCCTGCTATCAGTATCCAACACCATGGTCGTACATTTGTTATAACCAAGAGACTATGTCGTCACATTACACCCCAAAGTGCACAGTTTACACTAGGATTCACCATTGATGTGGCATAGTCTGGGTTGGAACAAATCTATAACATGTATTTGGCAGTATATAGAATAGTTTCACTACCCTAAAAATTCCTTCTTGAGGGTTTTGTTTTTTTTGTTGTTGTTGTTGTTTGTCATACCGTGGATTGAACCCACAGCCTTCACAGTGAGCTATATCCTCCGCCCTTTTTTTAGGGGTCAGGGAACTTCCTATCACTATGTAGTTCTGGCTGGCCTTGAACTCACTATGTAGCCCTGGCAGACCTTGAACTCTCAGCAATCCTGCTTCAGCCTCCCAAATGCTAAGATTATAGGCATGTGCTGCCATGCCTGGCCTTTCTTTTCTTTCAATTTTAAGACAGGATGTCACTAAGTTGTTAAATTACCCAGGCCAATTTGAAATTCTCCAGCCTACACAGTGTTAGGATTACAGGTATGTGCCACCATGCTCTTCTGGGGGTTTCATTTTAAATTAAAAACTGTATCATGGAAAAATTTAAACACAAAAGCAAAAAAAAAAAATAGTATAATGAACTCTTCAAATATTACCAGCCATGGCCAATTTGATCAGACAGATTTCATAAAAGGTACAGGAACATAGTTATTAGCACACTGGCTATTACTTTTGTAGAAAAAGGGTTTCTTCTCAGTTACTTTTAAATGAATGACTGATTATTCTGGTGCGATAATGTATTAATCACTAACTCTACTAGGCATTTTGCAAATAGTATCTGCACTCTCTTACCCCAAGTGCAGTCTATAGTCCAGTAAATACAACTATCACTTGGGAACTTGGTAGCAATGGGGAACCCCACAACTACTGAATATAGGTCAGCATCTTAAGATCCTCAGGGGATCAAAATATATATTAAAAGTTGAGAAGCAATGTGTGAGAGGCTCAGGGTAGACACTGAGTAGCCTTTTAATAATCTTACAATGACACTACAAGGCAGGTACAGTATATCAAGCTCAAGTTACATATGTGATGACTAAAACTGAGAGACATTATTTGGCTTTTCGAGATATCACAGCTAATAAATTTAGGTTCATCTGGCTTCAGAGTCAATGGTTCATAGCATGCTTCCTCCCAGTTAAAGAGTTCACTTCCACAGAAACTCAATAAAAAGAAAAACCATGTCAGTATGTGTACATGCAACACAAACACAATGTCATCTCAGCCACAAGAGAAAATCAAATTGCTATTGTGCTTGTACCCACTTGCTCCACCAAAAGGCCCTCTCAGTTTTAACTAGTGACTATGGTATTATGTAGACAAGTAAATACTCCAGAGCAGTTAAAAAAAAGCTGGAACAATTCCTAAATTACTGTCTCTAGACAAGTGATCGTTGACCCAAACTGCAAACCACGAGCTCTCCCAGTAAAAAAAGAGGTTCGGTATAGACCCAAATAACCGGTAAATACATTTTTAAAACTCTTTTTCCTTTTCTCTGTGTCTTCTCCACTGTCTCTTGTCTCTTATATGCTCTCTCTCTCTCTCTCTCTCTCTCTCTCTCTCTCTCTCTCTCTCTCTCAGTTTCTGCCATGGCATGACACAGTAAGAAGGTCCTCACCAAATGCAGACCTGCAACCTTGAGCTTCTCAGCCTCCAGAACGGAAAGAAATAAAATTCTTTTCTTTATTAAAAAAGTCAGTCCAGCTTGACATCATATAATCAGGTGGTCCCCAGATTGCTATTTCAGTTTCCAATGATTTGGGTGGCCTTTGCTGAACTGGTAGACCAAGAAGGGAGCCTTAAGTGCCTGACTCCCAGTGCGTAACATAATACTGCCTTTTGTTTTCTGGGTAGCTTTTTGAAAATAAAAATTATTGGAGAAGGGAGAAAAAACATAATGCCTGAGGCACAACTTCAGTTTAGCAGAAATTCATTAGATCTCAGGATCTTCTCTCCTCTAATCCTGGGAGGAGATTAGTCCATTTCCGTCTCTTTCACTGCCCTAATGAGTCTGGAGACTTGCATTAATGGATCAGCATGGCTACTTGGTTTAGCAATGAGCTGATGTGATGATTAATTAGCCTTCCTCCTTTCTCAGGAACCTGATGAAGTTCTCAGCTCAAAGCCCCAGGGATCCAGTGCGGGGCAATCTGCCCTTACACAAACACCAAAAAAGACCAGGTGAAGAAGTCTGTAAATTGGTCAGATGGTAAAGCACTACCAGGATTGTGACTGAGTTTCTATTTTACAGCCAAAGAACCTGGCCATAACTTGCTAACTTGCTGTTATGAACCAATAATATTACCCCAAATTAGTAAATCTATAGGCTTCACAAAGCTAGTTACATTGATACCTCTGTTCATGAACTTGATTCTTCTCACAGTTGTGGTCACAAACCCAGTTGGATGAGAACTAAATCAAATTCAATGGTTAGGTTCAGTGTTGACTTACTGTGAAATTCAATTTGTGGTGCAATTTGGTTTGGTCCTCATCCAGTTTGGTTTGTGAGCAGAACTATAAAGAGAATTAAGTTCATCCACTGAGATATCACTGTACCTTTATGCAGGATATCAAATTCTTAGTGTATTTCCTCTACCATTTTAAATAGTTTTTGGATCACTTTACCCAAATGGTAAATGGAATTTAATATTTTATGGTCAACTTTGTCGTCATCTTAAAAAATTATGATAAGCAATACCAAGAATTGAATCAAAATAAGTAAAAACCACCTGACTAGTTAAGACTTTAAGAGTTACCTTAAGAATTTTTTCTAAGCTAGGTATGGTAGTACATGCCTATAATCCCAGCACCTGGGAGAATCAAAAGTTCAAGGTCAGCCCAAACTATATAGTGAGACCTTATTCCAAAAACAAGAATGTTTTTTCTAAACACTGAAAACATCTTAAAATAATAATTTAATATATTTTAATACTTTATTAATCACTGTATTTCCCCCCCAAAAATCTTCAAAACCCTTTTCTAAGCTCCTCTCTTTGATCTCAACAATCACCTTTATAAGGTTAGAAGGACAATTATAATTTATCCTCTTTTTGCAGATGACCAGAGGCCATGAGAACTGCAGATACTGTCCCTCCC